CCTGGCTTTGCCATTCCCTTGCAAGCCCCTTCCTTGGCTCCACGCGCTCCTTGGCTCCACGGGCATCCGGGTGGCGGTGTGTGGGCCTAGGGAGCCCTGTGCCCTTTCCCGTAACAGCACGGGTTGGCCTCTCCCAGGGGCTGCTCCTGGCCGCCTCCGCCCTTGTCGTCGTCCTGATCCAGTTCTTTTGTGCTGCTCTTTCCCCCTGCAGGGCCTGAAGACGGGCATGTACTACCTGCGGACCAAGCCTGCCGCGAACCCCATCCAGTTCACCCTGAACAAGGAGAAGCTGAAGGAGAAGGGCTCCTCCGCGGAGGAGGAGAAGGAGAAAGAGAAGGAGCGCAACAAGGCGGCCATGGTGTGCTCCCTGGAGAACAGGGAGGAGTGCCTGATGTGCGGTTCCTAAGGGGCTGCTTGGCCACAGGGACCGCACCCCCCCCATGGGTCCCACCCACCCACCCCATTGCTAGGGTAGGTAGGTCTAGGTTCACTTTGCAAGGTGGGGAGGGCCCCTGCGCTCTGCCGAAAGGGCAGGTTGCAAGAGCGCGGGTGCAAAAGGGGGCCTCGGCTGGAGAGGAAAAGCCCTCGGGTCCGGGGAGCGGGGTGGGCGGGCGGGTGGGCGATGGGGACCTATATCTGCACAGGGTGTACGGCTGTTGTCGTGTGATCCTTGAAGGGCTTTCCCACAGTCTTGCCTTATCCGTGACACAAGAGAGGGAGGGGGGCGGGCAGGGTGTGCTCGTGTTCCTGATTCGCACACGGAGAGAAGTGCACAGATATGCTTAAGGTTTAACAAGCCTCCGGGGACAATCGCTTGCTGAACCAATTCGGGAGATACGGTCAGCGCCTGTGAAACCCGACAGCCTTGGAGGGAAACCCAATCTCTCGTGGGGGGCCTGACCATCCATCTGTCCAAAGGTGGCCTCCTCAGGCCGCTGGCGCTCTATGTTGCTGGGCACCCTTGACCCTCCGTCTCTCAAGAGGGTTGTTATTTGGAGGAAAGGTTTCGCCTCCGTGTGTAAAGAAAGCCATCCGAAACCACTGTGGAGAGAGAGCCTTTCTTTGAGTTTCCTCCCTGTGTTGGGTTGAGCAGTATTACTCTTGGCAACAAAGCGGCTCTGCTCGGAGGCCTTTGTGTCTTTTGGGCTGGGATGTTTTTACCAAAAAAAAAGCAAAACGAAACAAACCACCTTTCTGCTTCCTTTTTTTGTCCTCTTAGTAGGAAATCGGTGGCCTCGTTCTGGACTCTTTGTTGAATTCTGGTCCTGTGCTTCTACGCTTGACTCCTCTAAGCTAATTTGGGATGTCAATAAATCCTATGGAATGATGATGCTGGTGTCCTGAGATCCTTCCGTCTGAGGAGTCCCATCCTTCCCGTATAGACGGTGAGGAGGATGCGCCCGAATCCCTGCCTCAGTTTGGGTGCTGTGGGGGCTACCTCGTTGCTTTCCGGCACAACCTCTCTCCTGGTGACCTCGCACGTCAGGATCACCCCGACGTGAACAGACAGTCTGGGCTGAGCGGGGTTTACGTTTGGGGAGGTGCTCACGGGGCTCCGACTGTAGGCGTCTCTCCCCTTGTGAGCACACACGAGCGTGCACAGGCACACACAACAGAGTCATGTGAAAAAGGAAGTACACCCTCTTCGAATTCTATGGGTTTTTTTCTATCAAGACAAAAATAGTCTGGTCATTGGAAGGTCTGGAAATTAGGTAAATTCAACCTCAGATGAACAGAAACACATGACATGATTTATTTTGGAACAATAAACCGCCTCATTGCGCAGTTGGGGGTTGAATCCCAGGGAGCCGGCTCAAGGTTGACTCAGCCTTCTATCCTTCCAAGGTCGGGAAAATGAGTGCCCAGCTGGCTGTGGGGGGGGGGGACGCAATGTGTAGCCTGCTTAATTAACTTGTAAACCGCCCAGAGAGTGCTTGAAGCATATGGGACGGTATATAAGCGGCACACTTTGCTTTGCTTTTGCCTATCCAGACTGGGTCTAGACTGAGTAGACCCAGTCTAGATGGGCAGGGTATACATCTAATTAAGTAAATAAATAGAAATAAATAATAAAGCCGAAATGGAAAGCTACACCCTGAGCATGCTGTTTTCCAAAAGCATAGAAATTAGTAACTATTAATGGTGAAGGTTATTAATAACATTCCTATCAGAATGGCCGCTGTACCCACATTTTCTTAGGACTACATACATACAGATACATCATTGTCTTAGATTTTATTAAAAGCTGGGCAAGACCTAAGGGGCAGTTCTGTGACGGGAGAGGCAGGGAGTAGCAGCTCCAGGTTTGGCCTTCGGTCCCCCCTGCAACAGCTCAGGACCTGAGGCACGGGTGGAAACTGATCTGCAGCTCCCAGGACTGATCCTGCTGACATTGGATCACCTCTCATTCTTCAAAGGAACTCTTTGTGGCCCTTCTGGCAGCCCGGGGGGGGGGCCTCCCCTGAGCCTTGGGCTGTGAAGAGAGGACTTAAGGGATAAAGGCACCGACGGGGGTCCTTTGGAACAGGGAAGAAGCTCCTGAATCTTAGGCCCAATGAGAAGAAGCAGAGAACCTTCCTGCTCCCATTTTGCCCGGGGTCTGCCATTGTTTCAGTCCTGAAGAATCCCTTGAGAACAAAACTCTTGGATGTTATTGTTGGGACTAAATGGATTAAAACAGGAGGAGAATTCTCAAGCTAGGACACCGTTCCCAGTTTCTGGTCTGCATTGCTCATGCGCCAGAATAAAAATAAACTTGTATGAAGTTTGTTGTAGAGGTTTTGTGACCCCTTAGAAGGGCGGTCAATAGAGTGGATTTAGGATTCGGGGTTTGGTTTAATGAACGTGGTCTGTGTTTCCAGAACCCAGTGCCCTGCGCCACTGTGTTGCCAACAAGAGTGTGTCACTCCTGGATCTCTCCGTTGTGCTTTGCTGACACACTGCATGTGTTTAGCCATTTAGTTGTGTCCGACTCTTCATGACCCCATGGACCAGAGCATGCGAGGCCCTCCTGTCTTCCACTGCCTCCCGGAGTTTGGTACCAAATCCATGTTGGTCACTTCAGTGACCCTGTCCAGCCATCTCATCCTCGGTCGTCCCCTTCTCCTCTTGCCTCCACTCTTTCCCAACATCAGGGTCTTTTCCAGGGAGTCTTCTCTTCTCATGAGATGGCCAACGTACTGGGGCCTCAACTTCAGAATCCGTCCTTCCAGGGAGCATCACCTCTAAGTGGGTCTTAGAGCAAACCAAGACTGAGCTACTTCTGGAGGCAAAACTTTTGAAACTGAGGCTGTCCTCCTTTGGGCACCTCAGGAGGAGGCAGGATTCTCTGGAAAAGATCACCATGCTGGGAAAGGCGGAAGGCAGCAGGACAAGAGGGAGACCCAATAATACGAAGATGGATTGACTTCCCTAAAGGAAGCCACAGGTGTGAATTTGCAAGCGCCGAGCAGGGCTGTTGGGGAAAGGACATTCTGGCGATCGCCCAGTCACAAAGTCGCCATAAGTCGGGGCTGACTTGAGGGGCACACAACAACAGCGAGCCTGTTTGCCTGGTTTCCTAGCCCATGCAAACCCCCCCCCCCATTCCCATGGATGAATACGCTCTGCAACTTGGATGCCTCTTCTTTCTTGCCCGCCCCCCCAGAGAAAGGGGCTCTCCTTCGTGAATGCTTAAGGCACAATAAGCACCACGACAGACTCGGGTTTTGCTGTGGTTGCTACGCATTCATATCCTCAGATAGAGGCTGCGGATCTCCCACCTCCTTGCCTCGTCCCACTGCAGGGCCAGATCAGATCCCACTCACACCCTAAAAGCGGTTCAGGAGCCGCTTCGCTCCTCCAAGGGGCAGGACTTTGCATCCACCCTCTTGGCTGCTTCCTGTTGGCCGGAACTTGGAAGTTAGGAAAGTCCAAAGTTGCCCAACACGGCTGCCCTCACCCGGCCTTACCGTTGCTGCAGCTCTTCTCTGTGCCGGTTCCTTCCCACAGGTTCAATTCTGACCCCGGAGGGCAATTAGCCTTAACGACTGGACAGTAATGATGCAGGTTCCACAGGAGGCACTGGAGCTAATTTAGTTGGGGTTGGGCAGCCACCTGTGACCCCCCCACACACACACACACCTGGACGCTGGTGGCTCAATTACCTGGCTGTTGCAACCATTGCCCATCTGTGTCCCGTTCCCCCCCCCCCGGGCACAGCTGTGCAATTTTCCACTGAGCAAAATGCCCGCATCAGTTATTCTTCTGGGGCATGAAGTTGTTGCCTGGACTGCCAAGGAGAGCAAACTTTTCCTGACCTTCTGAGGGCAGGTTTGGCCCGGGTCTTGCACGTTTGCATTTTCCACGTGAGAAACTCCCCAGCCCTGCCATTCAAGGCAGGGCCACCCGTGGCCGAGCGAGAGCTTGGCACCCTCCCTCTGGCTGCAGGGCGACACTCTGCCCTCCCCGGTTTGCCCGGAACGGCTTTCCCGAGCATCCCAGCCGGAACGGACATGCTCCCGATCTTCTCTGGTTTTCGGGAGCCTCAGCAGGCTCAGCCCTGGCTCATATTGGGCTGCAAGAACATTTTAAGGAGCGAAAGGGGCTGCAGTGCGGAGTGGAGAGGATGCTGCTAGGGCGGGCTGTGGCCGCCTTTCTTAAAGGCCACGGCCTTTCCACGGGCCCTGCCCACACACGTCTGAAGATGAGACGGAGGAGAAACTCTTGCACGGCTCTGGAGAGCTGCTCGAGAGGAGGACCTCCTGAGGCCTGGGGGCTGCCAGGCATCTGACAGAGGCTGGGGGAGGACGGCATTCATCGGATGACCAGCCCCTTTACTCAGTGCCTTGTTTCCTTATATTAAATGGACAGACTTAAACAAAGTAAAACAGTGCTTAAAACGTCCAGGGAAAGAAAAAGTCCCAATTCCTCCAAGATTTTGTGAACCTTCTCCTCTCTGGTCGGAGGTTGAGGTACCAATGAGTGAGCAGATTTGGGGGTGGGGGTGTCCCGATGCTCCTGCCGGCTGCTTTGCTCCCCAGACGTGGGTGTTTCCATTCCTTCTCTGAGAACAGACCTCAGAGATATTTCGAAGGCTCCCTAAACTTTAATTACACAACCCGGAAGGGAACAGCAGGTTTTGAAGACGTTTCCGCTGGTGGGACCCCATCGCTGTGGGCTGCTCCAGTTCAGCCCTCCTAGCCAGCCAGCCCGGAGGGCCAGCCCTCTTCTCAGCTACTCCCTTCCAAGCCCCCTTCCCTCCCCAGGCTCAACCGCCCCCAGCAGGCTCTCTACAGCCACCGGGCGGGTCCCTTCCTCGTTGTCCTGCCTTGTCTTCATCGCCTGCCTTCCTTTGCCTGGGCCTTTGCTAAGGAGATGTGTCATCAAAGTAGACCTTTGGTCTAGATGGGTGGGATAGAAATCCAATAAATAAATAATCACCTGGCAGAGAGTAGTGGGGCATGGGACATTGACTTCTTTGGACAACAACGCCCAGAATCCCCTAGGCAGGGTGGCCACGCAAGAGGACATATTCTGGGATTTTGACACTTCCAAACAGGAAATGGTCAAAGTTCCAATAAATAGTGTACGTAGAAGGGTTATGTTTCTAGGTCCATCAAGGAACGAACTCCAGGCTGGAAGTATTTCATGAGTAAAGAACACATCTCTTGCAACGGCCCTCCTCCTTGTCCCCTTTTCTAAAGCCATGCCTGTCTGCAAACTTTTGCCAAGTCTACCTCGTGGCGCAAGTTAAACCGCTGTATTGCAGCTAAAACTGTGCTCACGACTTGGGGTTCAAATCCCAGGTAGCCGGCTCAAGGTTGATTCAGCCTTCCATCCTTCCGAGGTCGGTAAAACGAGTACCCAGCTGGCTGGGGAGGGGGGGGAATGTGTATCCTGCATAATTAAATTGTAAACCGCCCAGAGAGTGCTTGAAGCACTATGGGGCGGTATATAAGCAGCACACTTTGCTTTGCTTTGCTTTACCTGCCTCGTGTTTCTGCATTAGCCTCAATTTCTACTTGTGCATTTCTTTTTTTAGAATCTCCTGTTTTAATTTCCCGGGTTTCTGCACTTCTTTGACACAAAGGTCGCGCCCTTTCTGCCTCAAGTCCAGCAGGGGGCGCCGCGGCTCCCGTTTCCAAGCCCTTCCCGGATTCCGCGCGGAAAGGCTTTCCTCCCCTTCTTAAGCAGAGAATCGCCTCCCCGCCCCCGCCCCCCCCCCGTTAAAAGGAAGCAAATCAATCAACAAAGGGATAGACAAATCAAAACATATTTGTGAGACAGTTACCCTGACCCGCTGATCTGTGCTGGGCCCTTTGGGACACTTAAGTTTCCCAAACCCTCATT